TTTCAATCCAATGGAATGAACGTTCTTGATTTAGTTGTCCTATCAGGTGCATTATATAATCCCATTGAAATATATTTTTTTGATCCATTTAAAATGAATTTATATATGATAGTTTGGATTTTCAGGGGCACATACAATTGGAAGAGCAAGATGTGATTCAATCCAGTACAGACTCTTTAACTACACTGGAACCGGTGAAGCTGATCCATCCATTGATTCCAAGTACTTCAACTACTTGTCGAGAAGATGCAGATGGGATACTGAATATGTTGACTTAGATGGGACAACTCCGACAACCTTTGACGCTCAATATTACAAGAATCTTGAGGAAAAAAAGGGACTTTTACAGACAGATCAAATGCTGTATTCTGATGCCAGGACTTCTCCTCTTGTTTCTGCTTTTGCTGATCAGCCATGGCTATTTCACCACCAGTTTGGAGCGTCAATGGTGAAGCTTGCCAACATTCAGGTCCTCACTGATCAAGATGAAGATGGAGAAATTCGAACTATTTGCTCTTCTATTAACTCTAACAACTACTAGTTTAATACTTTTCCTTCTCGATCTTGCTCATGATACTTTTCTTTCATTATTTCTCTTTTCTCCTGTGTTGTTCAACTATAGTTTCTTGTATGAACAAAGATGCTGATGAGATTGTTCTTCAAAAATATGTATCGATCCAATACGGTAATTTTGTCTTGTGGAATTATTTGATTATTAACTTTCTTGATTAGTGAAACATCTCTTTACAAATATTCAAAAAATTCAAAAACTAATCACAAGAAATTTTTATATGCACTAATTGTTGAAATAAAAATATTTTTCAAATCAATAGATTTGTAAATCTAAACATATAATTTCGTACTGAATTAATGAAAAAGGTAAGCGGAAGCGTACTTGGATCCATCGTGAAAGAATTGTATCGTGAAAGAATTGTTCGCGTCCGGAAGTAGAATCTTATGAATCAACACGATACCTAAAAACTTATTTTTTCTGGTGACGAGATTTCAAAAAAATAAAATGATGATTTTGTGATTTGGGGATCATAACCGCCTTTTATATCAATAAACTTTTGCAATTCCCATTTCACCAATCATAAAAAGAGAATATTACGAAAATGATATATGCACATTACAAGTCTATACTTAAATTCGATTCATTAAGACCCAATACTGTTTAATCGTATTTGATCACTTTTAAACGAGTATATTAAATTGATAGTCTGATACGCATACCAAATCCAACATTAAGCCCACATATCAGAAAAAATCAAACTATACGTTAAATAACCATAGGAGTACTTAAAACTGTGCTATGAATACCTGAATGCATCACCAAATAATCTCGTCCATCGATAATAATGACGTAGGATCGAAGTGGTCTTCGCTACAATTATCGTAGCTAAACTTATCAATGGTCACGTATATCATAATAATCGAACGATATGGACCAAACATAGATATGCAGCATGAAAATTACATGTTATGTGATCTAAGCATACCTATTTCTAACTGATTATGTCTTAACCTTAGTGAGATCAACTGTAAAAAACTCAAAAATAATATATATAAACAAAACCAAAATACAAAAACTGTAATGAACCATATATACATAAACCAAAACTAAAATACAAAAATTATAACATGTCTTACAAAATAAATGCAACTAAAGTACAAGACTACCACTGAACCTATACATTGTTTAAGGATACAACACCCATATGAGTAGTGCGTTCATGAAAGACCTTAGGTGGTAATCCCTTAGTGAGTGGATCTACAATCATGGAGTTTATTCCAATGTATTCTATTGATATTTAGTTACTCTGAACTTTTTCTTTAATAACGAGGAACTTGATATTTATATGCTTTGACTTCGTCGAGCTCATGTTGTTGTTGGAATACATAACTGCTGACTTATTGTCACAAAATAACTTTAATGGTCTTTCTATGCCATCAATAATATGCAGCCCAGTGACAAAATTTCGTAGCTATATTCCATGATTGGATGCCTCATAACAAGGTACAAACTCTGTTGTTATAGTAGAAGGGTTACAAGTGTTTGCTTAGCACTATTATAGGAAATAGCTCCCCCAACAAGCAAGTAGATATAACATGATGTAGATTTTCTACTGTTTTAACATCCGACAAAATTATAATTAGAATAACCAATGATCTGTAACTGATCTAACCCCCCGTATATGAGCATATAACCTTTTGTTCTCTGTAGATATCGCACGACACGTTTGGCTGCTTTTCAATTATTCGTTCATGGATTACTTAAATATCTACCTAATATCCCAACAATGTACACAATATTTAGATGCGTACAAACCTATGCATATATAAGACTCCCTACAGCTGAAACATAAGGAATCTTTTGCATATTTGTAGTCTCTAGATCATTCTTGAGGCATTGACTTAGAGTAAACTGTCTCTTTTAGACACAGGAGAGTCACCTGGTTTACAATCCTGTATGTCAAACCTTTTTAAGAACCTTTTCAATATAGCTTTTTTTATGATAATTCAAGAATACACCGAGAGCGATCCTGGTGTATATGGATCCTTAATACAAAAGAGACGTCCCCAAGGTCTTTCATCTTGAATTTTTTTGCAAAAAATCTTTTGGTTTCTTGCAATAAGCCTGTATCACTACTACTAACAAACAGTATGTCATTAATATATAAAACAAGAAAAATATATTTATTCTTATTGAACTTATGATATACACACTCTTCCACTAAATTCATCTTAAAACCAAACGAGATAACGACTTGATGAAAATTGTGATACCATTGACGGGAAGTCTGCTTAAGTACATAGATGAATTTTTTTAGTTTGTAAATCATTTGCTGTGCATCTTCGGATACAAAATTTTTTAGTTGCATCATATAAATCGTCTCATCAACGTCATCATTAAAAAAGTTCTCTTAACATCCATATGATGTAACTTAAGATCAAAATGTGTCATTAAAGCTACTATAGTCCTGAAAGAGTCTTTTGACAAAACCAGAGAGAAAGTCTCTCTATAATTGATGCATTGAGAAAGTCTCTCTATAATTGATGCATTCTCTCTGTGTAAAGCCTTTAACGACAAGATGGATCTTGCACCTCTCTATATTACTTTTTGATTCCTCTTAGTCTTAAATATCCATTTGCAACCAATGAGTTTCGCATCCTTAAGCAATGAGATAAGATTCCAAACGTTATTAGCCTTTATGGACTTTATCTCTTCATTCATGGCATCAATCCACTTTTGAGAGTTCGAACTTTTTATGACTTGATGGAAGTTGATATGATCATCTTTTACCGTACCAATATGAAACTCATGATCTTATAGATATACAATATAATCATCTATAATTGCACTTCTCCTCTCTCTAGTAGATCTCTTTAATGGCATAAATTCTTAAGGGTGTGAAGTTTGTGTTTTAGGAATAGTTTTCCGAATAGAAACGGGAGATACTATAACATTGTCTTGATCTAAAGTTGTTTTTTAAACAATACTAAGTATAAGAACCTGATCGTAATCATTGTTAAGAGCAACTAAGGGAATAGGAATATTGACTCATTTTTCTTTAAAGATAAGGTCTTGAACTCTTTCTTCCCCCACAAACTCAACATTCTCAAAAAATTAAGTATTTTCTATTTCAAAAATTATCTTAGCAGTGGGATTATAAAACTTGTAACCCCTGGATCACTTAATATAACCAACAAAATAGCAACTAACAGTTCTGGAGTCCAGTTTCTTTTCCTATGGCCTATAAGGTCTAGTCTAACTAGACATCTCTAAATGTGCAAATATCTCAAACTAGGCTTCTTACCCATCCAAGGCTCATAAAGGGTCTTTGTAATTACTTTAGTTGGAACTCTGTTGAGTAAATATGTTGCGGTCTTTAATGCTTCTCCCTAAAGTGATTTAGGTAAGGTAAAATGACTAATCATACTCCTTACCATATCCTTAAGTATTCTATTTCGTCTTTTAGCAACACCATTCATGTTCGGAGAACCTGTTATGGTGTACTATAGGACGATACCGCATTCCTTTAGGAATCAATGGACTAAGACTTCTCATGAACATATATGCAATAATCATCTATAAACGTTATAAAATATTATTGACAATTCCAAGAAGCCGTAGGGAGCAATCCACAAATATCTGTATGAATGAGTTCTAATACGTGCATAACTCTGTTGGCACTTAATCTCTTAATATTTGTTTGTTTTTTCTTAATATAATGAACATATGTGTCAAAATCTATAAAATCAATGGGATCTAGAATTTCATCTAGCACAAGTCTCTCAATTCTTCTTTGGAAGATGTGACCTAATCTCTTGTGTCATAATAAAGCAAAATTCTACTTGGTTAATTTTCTCTTTACACCTCTTATACCAATATACAATGATTCATTATAAGAAGCAATTGTATCAAATAAATAAAAATTATCATGCGCTGATAAAGAGGTAGAACTAATCATATTTGAATTAAAAGAAAAGACTAAATTTTTTATTTTTAAATGAACATGAATAACTAAATTTGTCCAATACAGAAACAGAAATCACATTTCGTCTAAATGACGGTACAGTAAAAGTCTCTTCTAGATCCAAATAAAATTCAATTCTTAACAACAATATAAATTTGTCAATTGCTTCCACCTCAACTCATTTGCCATCGCCCACATAAATGAATCTGGCACCATCACTTG